CTCGACTACTCCCATGCTATACGGAGAGATAAAGACAAACTGCCCACCCAGACCACCTCTATGTGCATCTATTCATGCACCTGCTCCTGTGTGGCAGAATAAATTGGTCGCACGAGCCGGCGTTTGTCCTAGGGTACGAGAACACGTTCCAGCATGGTTAGGGAAGGGCAAAATAAAGGGTATATACAGTTCCATTATAGCGCACCTGGTAGATTCAGACCATCGCGTGGATGCCAGAGAGTCCTTTCAAGTGATCCACAAGGTGCCCTCAAGCTATTCAGCAGACCCTGAACAATGTCTCTTGAGTACGACAGAAGCGGCCTTCATCAGGCCTCGTCGACCGGTCTCGTGCGTCCAGAAGAACTTCGTAACGGTGCTGCAGTTACAGTGGCCAAAAGTCGCTACTTAAATAGCCCGCAGCTTTTCACCTTTCTCGGCTACCAGTCCCTCTAAAGGTGATCAGATTTTTGACCCTGATTACCCCTACTTACCCTGACAACCACACTATTTTTCTACTGACCCGCATAGTTCATTTAGTTAATTACGATATAAATGCACAGGCCTGACAAAAATTTATTTAAAAAAACGTATGTTCATCAATTTAACTTCTGAACTTTTAAATGGGGATTTTTGCAAAGCTGCGGTTTATTTTTATGTAAGGGCTAAGCTTGGGTTGGGACAGAGGAGTATTCATCCTTCCTGGAATTGTACGCACGGCCACTATTATTATTTGGTCGGGCTTTTCTGTTCGCGTGTCTTGTTTAGGGAATCATACATGCAATCAGTAGTTAATTGGACTATAGAAAATATGACTTTCACGGCACTACCTTAATTTATCCGCATTGCACTACGTTGACGTTATATGATGGTGTATGAGCCACTGAAAATAGATATGAGTGGAACAAGTGAAGTAAATATCCACATGTAAGTTTTACCGTCGTAAATGGCACCGAACTTTTCACCCCGGTATCGGCTCATCAGTAGTGCCTTATGCGGACATCTAACGGTGCAGCACGCTACGAATCTACAGCAATTCCTCTTTCCCACACCACCCATCGCTCTTCAATGGTAAGACAAAAGCAAGGTGACCAAGCGTGCCCCTGACGATAGTTTTGACAGGTCTAACAAGCGTTTACGCATAGCACACTTACCATAATCCCTACTTCAAACTTATCAGTCCTTCTTCAGAGGATTTAAAAACTCATATACGTGAGAATGCCATGAAAGTGACTTTAAGGAACCATTGCATTAGCGTGTACGGCCGTTCGTTGGCAACTTACGAAGCCACAAATCATAGCACGTAGTGATAGGTGTAGGCCCGTGAGATTACTTACAAAAAGGAATGCATTGGTTTAGTGTGAGGATAGTTTGGTTATTTTATCGACAGAAACTCTCCTTTCCTCTGCCATGCATCAGTGGTCTGTTCGAGTCAAGCCGGCTGGGAATGAGATTGTACACAGTGGCCGGAAAAAGTGAACAGCCCACCTCCTGATGTCTACTATGCATATGTCACACTGCATTAAATGACCCGCTTCTTACGTAAGTCAGATGGACATATACTTACTCAAGACGCTCCACCCGTCATACAGACGTCGAAACACAAGATCCATTGCGTGAGACTTTCAATTGATACTTTTCGCGTATGCATTTTTGAGGGAGGGGGATCATATTTAGGCTGACTCTCTTTTCCGGGCAGGGCAGAGCTTTGTGAGGGGGCCTGAGCTGCTGTGCTACTCACGTGAGAATTTTTACGCATGTATGTACTACCGAGTAAGTTCACGCGGTAGCTAGGCGTGCAAGCGTGAGATTGATTATAGAGGGGGAATTGCGGTGCGCAGGCGACCTCATTCTCTCCTCCACCTGGAACACCAGGCAACCGTCCGTGCCGGTCAGTTTTCTGATGCACAGTGGCTGACGGGGCCGGCGAACCCGTCTGCTTACGGTAGTTTGTTGCTTAAGTACGCCTGACTTTAGAGCAAGTGTAGAAATCCAGCCACTTACTTGTAACCATCGTAAGCCTAACCGTTACACATTGCCAATAGGTATGATATAAATGGACATCCTGAATGCATGATGACTGTATGCTTTTTATATTGACATTTTGCGCGTAATGTGCAATGCGGAGTTTGGTTTGTAACCAACCTTTTATCTGAAAAACTGGAAGTCAAGTTTAACACGACCGAGTCTTGAAACACTATATCAACTACCGAGTTAATCTGACTTCAAGATTTTCGCTTTAACTTTTTATTCTCCACCTGGTAGTTCAAATGTCACGGAAAAGTCTACCGCCGGCCCACGAGCTGGGGTTACAGAAGCGACATGCCCATGCTTATTTTGTGGTGCGGCAGACTTACTTGGGACCTAGTTCAATCTCTCCTCCCTCCTACACCATCTAGGGTCCTTTTATGGCAGACTGGAGCCAAATGAACGTGGGAACA